AAAAAAAAAAAAACACGCATGAATACAAGGATGGAGATAGAGACACAAGTTTCTTGTCATTATTAACATTCGACAAAAACCGTTTTATTTTCGTTGAATCAGCAGAGGCAATGTGGAAAATGGCATTTGTTTAATGTGTAGCCATACCAGCATTACAATTATTTTTCTCCCGCTCTTTCATCTTTTGCTTGTGCCTTTCACGAGAGATCTCGTTCGATTCTTACTGAGACATCTTACTTTTTCGTCGTGTCCGCAGCCATTTCAAATGAAGTATGCGGATAAATAACATTCTACAGGCATGCCTTCTTTTTTGAAGTGGGAAGAGCTCTACAAGTGGGGATTCCCGTTGCAAAACACCCAATTGTTCGGTCCCACTATGTCTTTTCAAAGAAGTGCACATTGACCGTCCATTGGGAGATTGACAAAACAAACTTTCCGCGATAACTCCTTCAGATGCCACAATGCGCTTCTCAAGTTCCTCTATTGTAACACGAAAGTGAAGAATATCCGAAAGAATCGCTTTTTCTAAACATTTATTTACTTCGGGTAATATAAGCCTTTTCCTCTTATACCCATTCTCTTTTCTATGTGACAGCATCCTTTGACTCTCAGGGAACTTTCTCCTCCCTAATAGGTGTTTGATACTTGCTGACGGAATATCAGAAGTTTCATTATTTGGTAGAATGAAAGCAATTCGATGGTGAGAATGCACATCCCACAACGCCATGTACAGTTCGTCCGGAACAGGAACCCCTCGTTTTGCTTTGTCTTTGAGAGTTAAATGAGAAAGAGATTCATTTCCTTTTTTGAACAAGACGCCTGTGGACACCGCCAAACATCTCGAGCCTTTTAAGAATCCAGTCTGTTCTAAAGGAAGAGATATTGTATCCTCCTCACTGTTTTCTATTAGCAGTTTAGACGCCTTTGCGCGGTGGCCCTCAACATAGCACCGTGAAAGGGTTTCTAATCTTTTCCACACACCGCGATTAAGCACCTTGTGTTGAAGTACAAAGTTTGAAAGCAATGACGCCTCCAAATTACTGACCGAACACGTGACAACAGAAGCATGCGGAGCCATATGCCCTTTATCAAACCCGCACCGTTGCATCTGCGATGGTGTTACCTGTTCTTCTTTTGGAAGTGTCCGGTCCGTAAACGAAACACGATCTCGAGGAAAACGCCGAGCAGCCTTTACCTGTTCCTTGGTAAGATAAAATCCACACCATATCGCTATTCGCAATTCAGTATCGTACAACAACGCATAGTTATTGCGCGAGAGCAGACGAAGAGATTCATTCCTATCGACAGCACGGGCGTCCTGACCGACGTCCGCGTTTTTCACGTGGATTCGAGCGTCGCGAAGGTAAAGGGGCTCCAGCCACGTGGGGTTCCGAAACTTGCAAACCCAACGGCGTCTTCCAGCGTCAAACATTTTTTTTGACCGGATTCGGAGCCACCAACCGCTTGCCACCCCTAAAAAATAGGAAGCGGCGGCTACGCAACAAATCGGCACCACCGGCCCCGTGTTTTCAAAAACGCCGGCTGCCCTCGCCGGCTCCCCTTTGGCCGCGCCGCCGGGTCTCATTAAAGGCTTCCTTGGTCCTACGGCCGCCAACCTCTTCAAAACAAGAAAAGAAAAGAAAATCAATACGCCTCGTGGCGCGGGTCTCCCGGGGTGTCGGGGCGATTGTCGCC